ATAATATATTCTATATATTATATAGAATACTAATACCTGATACTAAGAGGCAATGCCAGGTATTGGTAGCTTAGCTGAGACTGAAGTTTCAGAAGGGGAAGGCTCAACACCATAACAGACAATAAACTTCTAAACAAGAAGTAATAGCTATAATATACTCTACTGGCAAGTGAAGAAAAGAAACTGTGTCTGTAGTTGCACGCCAGTAGTAACATGTCAGGAAGACAAGGAGAGTTTTGGGTTTGAAGATACTGGGGGAGGCTGGAGTGAGGTGTCATTAAAGAAAATAACAGGAAAACCCCCATAAGAGTTTTTCCCTGACGGCAGGGAAAGCTTGGCATCTTTGCATTAAAATTGTGCTTCCCTTTAGGTGGTCTGAGGATTAATTGTTGTTCTTTGAAATGGGAAAGTAATGCTGTTGCTGTGTTTTAGTAAAACACAGGAGTTTGTTTTCAGGAGCGAGTGCTAAATTTGTTAAATGAAATTGTAAATATTTTTAGAATACAGAGTAGAAACTTGCTTTAGTCTGATTTTTTTTTAATTCCTGCTTTATCTTCCTTATAAAAGTGGCTTTGAATGGTTTCTGTTCTGCAATCTTATGCTATCCCTGCAGAAATGTCAAGATTGCCCTGCTGCCTGAGATCAGTGAAAACAGGATGGCTCTGTGTCCAAGGGGCGTGTGTACCATCTTTGACTGACAGCCCAGGGCAAACTTACTTCAACAGAAATATTTTGTCTTTTCTAAACAGACCATGCCATTTTCTTTTAAACAGGTATCCAAGAAAAACTGGACCATATCACGTATTTGAATATAAAAACCATCTGGATCACCTCTTTGTATAAGTCCCCATTAAAAGACCTTGGGTATGGAGCTGAAGACTTCTATGATATTGATCCCATGTTTGGATCAATGAGCGATTTTGAGAATCTGCTTGCAGCCATACACGACAGAGGTAAGCTGTAACTCCGAGCAAAATAACTCTATTAAAAAAGATGTTCACGCATTATACAGCGTGCCCCTTGTAGCACTAGGTTATGAGCTGAGATTTCAGTTGTGTATCTGGCAGTTGAGCAGAAGCAGATGGAGATGCCGGTGAAGGGAAGGCGCGGGGAGGTACGGCAATGGTGTCAGGCTGTGTATGTCCTCTGTAGGCACGGTCCTCTCCGAGGATGTTTGTGGGTGGTGAGCTGGCGTATGTCCGTGCTCCCTGGTGCATGTGGTATGGGCATCGGTAGCCTGGGGGTCAAGGCTGAGATGCAGTTGTTTGTGACTGAATTTTATGACTGATGGCTGCTTTCTGAAAAAAGCAGGAAAACAATTACAGGGATGGGGGGGGGGAACATAGGCTTCCTGCCTGCGATTGCATCCTTGGTTGGTGCGTTTATGCCTCAGACCAAATGTTTGCTCAGGTGCTTCCCCTTGCAGCTGTTGGGCTGAATGGAAAATGGTTTGCCAGTCCCCAAAACACTTGGGATTTCAAAAAAATGTCTAGTGCTTAGGAAGTGTGAGGAAGAATGTGCGTTCCCTGATGCTAGACTGGTGAAGTGCCTTTCCCACCTGGGAGGTGGGAGACAGATGTTGAAGACGGAGTTAGTGGAAGTGGTTCATAACAGCAGAAATCTGTTCTGATTTTTTTTTTTTTCCTTCCCCCTTCTTTCCCTCCCCAGCAAGGGGCTGGGGGGAACAGTACCAGCAAGATGTGTTGCAGCTAGTTGCAGACTCTCATTAGTCTGAACTGTGTTGGTAGTCTGGGGCTTTTTGTGGGGTTTTTTTGCTTCTCTTTTTTGCCAGACCTCTGGGATGGACGAAGCCCCAACACTCCTGATACTGCATTTAGAAAAAATGTGAACTTTATCTTAAAAGGCTAAATTTAATGTTTGGGGGTTTTTTATGGTTTGATTTTTTTTTTAAGGGCTGAAGGTGATAATGGATTTAATACCAAACCACACAAGTGACAAACACCGATGGTTTCAGCTGAGTCGCAATCAGACTGGGAAGTACACGGACTACTACATCTGGCAGAACTGCACGCAGGCGGCTGGTTCGGTCACTCCTCCAAACAACTGGGTAAACACGGGAAGGGACACCTGCAAATCCCAAGCTGGATGTAGGCTGCCACATAGCAAAAGCAGCTGTAATGTAATTACCCAGCTGTACACCGGGTTATAAATGACTGTTGAGAGATACGAACTGATGTTATGAAGTGAGCTAGGGCAGGTTAAGATTTAAACCAGCACAGCGAGGAGGAGTTCCATCTTCAAACAGAATTTAAAAAGTGACTTTTGTTTCTTTACCTCAGTGTTAAATCTTCACTCATTAAACAAGCTAAAGAAAGGGACAGTTGTGCACGAGTTGTTCAGAGGTTGTTCACCAGGTGCCCCCATCTGTGTCTGGGTACTCTGCTCTAGGAACGTCGTTCCAGCTCCTCTGAAGTCATACTTGGTGGGGAGGGAAGCAAAATGATGTAGTGTTGGTTTTTTCCTTTTTCTGGAAGGTGATCAGACCACAAAGTGCGTTGCCTATTTAAAATATATTTATTTGAAATTTGAACTGATGGGTGCATGAGTAGGAACTAGTATGTTCTAAAAACTCCAGGTGGAATTAATATTTTGTACCGACTAGTGTAATTTCTCCCTAAACTTAGGGTCTTAAGAGCTATCTTAGCTTTTGGAATCTTTTATGACAGAGATGGTTAACATCTTAAGTTAACATTTTAACATGCTGACTGTTGTTGATGCTTCAAAGGGATAATACCAAATTGCAGAAAGCTCTAAGTTAACTAAAGCTATTTTTAATAAGCTTTCCCCTCTATTCTGAATAATTCCCAGTGAAAGTCTACATAAAAAACCCCCCACAAACAAAAAAACCCAGCGCAGAATGAAACAGAACATTGAACAAGAAATACCCGTGGTGAAGCATGACTAAAGGGAGAGCGACCAGCAGAAGAAGGAAAAGTAAAACATAAGTACCCAAATCTACTCAATTTAGTCCATTGATTAGGCATTTTGTACTTTACGTTTGTAATGCACCACATCTTAAAGTATGCATAGGAGTAATTGTTTGTTAAATTAGGAGTTCTGATTATCCCCCTCCCTTATACATGCAGGTGAGTGTCTTTGGGAATTCCAGCTGGCAGTTTGACGACGTGAGAAAGCAGTGTTATTTTCATCAGTTCGGGAAAGAACAGCCAGACTTGAATTTTCGCAACCCTGCTGTCCAACAAGAAATCCATGTAAGTATGTAACCCACTGCTGCTGCGCCAACAGCAGAGCAGCTATTTCTACACTTAATTTATCTGATTATTTGTGCTCCACAGTTTACAATCTAGTTGGAAGTAATTCAAGGATTGCAGTGTATGTAAACAATTGAAACAAAAAGTTGTCCAGACAAACATTAAATTTATAAGCAAAACTCAAGCTTTATGCTGTAATGCTTCCGGTATCAGAGCTACTTTGCTTCAAGCCTTAATTTAAAAGCAAACAAGCAAACAACAACAACCAAAAAAATACAAATAAAATTGTCCTTGAGTGGAGGTACTGGCAGCAACTGGTGTTGCAGAGCTGGATTTGAAGAGGGTATGACTATTGCTTTTTTATCAGGGTTAAGTCCCCTGCTCTCACAAGTGCCTGGCAAGATCTTGATGGGTTTTTGGAGCAGGCTATTGCACTTCAAAAGGACCTCCCTTTCGCTTTCTCTTCCCGCTAAATGCTATTGTAAAATTTCTTTGCTTTGATGTTTCAGGAGCCCTTTACTTTTCAGCCTAATCTTATTCGCAAACTGTTGATGCTTAGCTTTCCGCGAACCAAACCTGTCCTTCAACTGAAATAGCTTTTCCCACCCTTGTTTATGCTGATTTGTTTTTCAGCTCTGACAACATCCCCCTTCAGCCTTTGTTAAACTTTTTGTTAAACTGGTCCGCTTTTCCAGTCTTCCCTGAAGTGAGACTCTCCATCCTTTTGTTTAACTGCTACTTATTCCTGGCAGCGCTTCCAGCCTGAGGGTTTTCTCAAATGCAGATGGCCAGTATTAAACAAATTTAACAGAAAAGATGTCTGGGCAGAATCTCGTCCAGTGGCATAGGTTCTTCTCCCTCTGTGTCCTAAGATTGCTGTTACTTGCTTTGAAGTTGGTGCTAGTAGTCAAATAACCCAACGTGACCGCTCTCTGGAAGCGGTTAACTGCTTTCGGCTCTAGTCTCCAAGAGCCAAGGATGAAGGCACTTAGCGGGTTTGAGTGTTGTATCAAGGACAACAATTCATGGAAGGATTGACGTGGAAGGTAAAGCCGCTCTTGCACTGAAGCCTGTGCTGAAACAGAGCTGAATCACTCAAGTGGAGACAAGTTTTTATCTCTGCTGATACAAGGAGCTGTTAATTAGCCCGTCGAACGTGGAAATGGCACCTTGTTTTAGCAAAGAGATGTTTGCGTTTTCAGGAAAGCCAGGCAATGCTGATTTGAATTACAAGGAATGCCTTGGTCTCCGGATAAGGGGGAGATAGTGAGTTTCGATCTGTCTACGTCTCTGATGACTTTACAGGGGAGAGGACAGGTGAACAGCCATCGCAGCGAGAGTGCTTCACCAAGGCAGGGTGGTGCTCTGGTCAAAGCTTATGCCCGTCTGCATCATGGCTCCCAGCGGACAATGTGGAATTCATTAAAATACGGGGAAGTGGGCCCAAACATGGGGGGCCTGACAATTCCTGCTTTTTTTATTTTTCTCCCCCCCCCTTTAAGTTATACCCTATCAGGTAGTACAGCTACCTTAAGTGTTTTGATTTAGTCCTTAAGTGTTTGCTACTTTGTACTGTTGAATTTTGGAGCATTTCTGTGGTGGTAGTCTTCACAGCTGCCCAATTCTACTCTGATGGTCTGTCTCTCTTGGGCCACGCTCTTTGCCACAGGTACTGTGTGTGCATGAAGAAACAAAATGTTTTTGGTCATACTTGTTAACTAAAGCATGAAATGAGACTGCTCTCGAGGCTGATCCTTGAACTCCACTAGTAACCTGTCCACATTTTGGTACTTCCCTTAATGCCACGTCTTTCCACTCACACCTTTTTTCCTGGCATCGCACGAACTTTTCAATGGTCCTGGCTAATTTTTTTGAATGGTACCTGATACATTACTGAAGCTTCAGTATCAAATAGATGTTGTATTTACTATGCAAAGAAATGAAAACTAGTAAGTTTGGCCTGATAACACCCACCCACCTTTGGTAAATGCTTATGAACATCATTAATCGCTCCAGTATGTTAGACAAAGATTATTCTTTAGTATTTTAATTCAAGACCCTATTTCAGAATGTTAGGATGACTGAGCAGGAAGCAAATGGACTTGTCCAGAGAAGCTCAAGACTTTGGTTTTGCCACAGGGCGTGCAAGAGCAGTGAACCTTAGCAGCCGCTATGTTGTAGTTTTCTTGCATAAATGAAAGTAGATTGGTCTCAGTGAGTACCACGTCAGGGCTTGGTATCTGCACTGATGATACCTGGTGTTGCTTTTGGGATGAGCACATGCATAAGCATGAATTAATTTTTGGTGGATTCAGTATTGAATAGCCACCAAGCAGCTGCTGCTGCTTTCAGAATGGCTCTACAGGAAAGGACAACTCACTAAGGAGGAGTCTTTATTTGCCAAACAAAAATCTGTAAAGCCTGAGTGTGGACTAGTTCTACTCCACCCTATTCAGGCAAGTGTACTTCATACATTCAAAAAAAGGCAATTCAATAGCTGTCTTTTTTTTTAAAAAAAAAAAAAAAGTTTTTGTTCTTAGATGAAGAAAAGTATCTGGTCTAAAAGAACATTTGCAGAAACCACTCAAGAGTGACTGAACTTTAGAGTTTTTTGTTAAAACTACAGCAATTAAAACTGCAGTAATGTAACAGCTACTGAAGTACAATATAATTTTACTAATAGTGAATAATCTCTGAATTTGATAGTGAAATTACAAATCAACAGCAGTTAACTTGGATAATTATTTTTCATGTTCCTGCAGATCAACAAATAAGCCTGAAAATAAAATAAATTTCACATCCGTCAAATAAGAGAGAGCGAATATTTTAAGAGCTCTATTGTATAAAATGAAATTGGTGGCACAAGGTCTGTGCAGAACAACATATTCTTGCATATTTGAATCAGTGTGTTCTCATTATGTGCAGCCATGATGGGTGTTCAACAACAACAGTGCTTAGCATGAGCCCAGTTGTTTTGATGGATGAGATTAGAAACGGCTTTTAGCAAGGCGTGCCCTGGCTTTGGTCACGTGAATTATCAGAGAAGTTAAAGCAGTCTTTTTTTTTTTTTTTTTTTTTTAACTGGATGAAATAGTAAGATGTACTTTATTTAGATCTTAGTTTGACCTTAGATCAACATGATTAACTTCTAGTAAAATTTGAAGTACAAATTAAAAAATAAATTGTTACATATTAACTAAACCTGTTAGTAGGTATTTTTTTTTAAGTATGTGCTACTTTGAATGGGATGGGCTCACTTGGAATTCTCAACTTTTACCTTTGTCTAGGATATTATCAAATTTTGGCTTGGCAAAGGAATCGATGGATTTAGCTTCAGCGCTGTTAAATTTCTTTTAGAAGCAACACATCTACGGGATGAGCCTCAAGTGAACAAGTCCCAGAATCCAGTAACGTATATGTTCTGTCTCTTTTTTTCCTGTGTTTCCCACTGTGGCAAGAGAGTGTACGTTTCTACACTTGGGCCTTAATCGTGGCTTTCGGAAGACTGAGTCAGTCGTGTCCTTTGAAGGCGGGTGGCTCCTGGGCTCTCCACAGAAGGAGCACACACCAGGAAGAAGCCCCTGGGCCGAGGGTGTAGGTCAGTGAGAGACGTGCAGGGAGCACCACTGTGGGTGGGAGAATTGTCCATAGACCCTTTGTATTTCTGCTCCGACACAGTCGCCTCGAATTTTCTGTTTGAAATAATTTGCTTTCCAATTTATCTTCTAAAAGACCAGTCTTAGGATTTTAGTAGTTGATTGGTTATCTTTGGGGAGCCCACTGCAGGAGGTAAGCTCAGAGCTCTTGCTCGCCTGGGATCCTGCAGCAGTCACTAGCGTGTATTTCTCTGACATTGCTAGTAGGAATTGGAATAAAACAACCCCCCCCTCATATTCGCAGCGAGAGGTGGCCAGACACATTGCGAAGCATGCACCCTGTTATTCATGGTGTTTGCTTTTGCTGAGGCAGCGAGCTCAGGGATGTTCCCAGATAGTGTCAGCACTAAGACGCTGTTTCCCTGCGGAGCTGGGGATCCCATCAAACTGGTCAGCTCCACAAGTATCGTTCCTTGCCTTTGTAAGTTACAACAACGTTGTCAGTCTTTCCAGCCTGGTGTGTAGCCACAGCACCGGCTGTGCTCGGTGCTGCAGATGGGCTCAGTCGGTTAATGCTGCGGGTGGACCTTCCTCTTGAAAGATGGGATCCAAAATAATCAACCCTCTGCTATCGTATCTTCAGAGGTCCCCAGGTGCAGTTCAGATCTGCGCTGTGTTACTATGCTAAACTTGTTTCAGTTAAAATTTATCTGGATTGGTGCATTGTCTCAGGAAAGGATGGGAAGAATTTGGAGAGTTCTGAGATGTAAAATATTGGTGAACTAATGGGAAACACTGCCTCCTCCTTTAAGGACACTATCACAGCCTATTCCCAGCTCTACCATGACTACACAACTACGCAAGTTGGTATGCATGATATCATCCGTAGCTTCCGTCAAACCATGAATCAGTTCAGCAGTGAACCTGGCCGATACAGGTAAATTACAGCTAGTGAATTTTTCCCTAATATTTGTCACCCTTTTGCTAGCAATAAAATGTTTTCTTTTAGTAACATAATATGCCACAAACAGTTTTCTTCCTCAAACACAAATAGTGGTGCATAGGCTGTATTACCTCTTCTCCCACGTGTGAGAGAAAGGAAATGAATTGGCCCTGGTAGCTCTGCTCTATCTGCAGACTGTACAAAAGTAAGCAGAATGGGCGACCATTCGCACCACAGAGACTGTAATTAATCAGCCCTGTGGCCAATTTATTGTATAGTATTAGTAGTACTGTTCATGTCGGACGCATGACCTCTGGAGGTCATCCGGCCCAACTCCCCTGCTCATCAGGGCCACCTAGAGCTGGTTGCTCAGGACTGTGTCCAGCTGGCTTTTGAACATCTCCAAGGAGGGAGATTCCACAACCTCCTTGGGCAACCTGTGCCAGTGCCCAGTCACCCTCACAGTGAGAAAGTGTTTTCTAACATTCATAGGGAATCTCCTGTGTTTCTATTTGTGCCCGTGGCCTCTGGTCCTGGCACTGGGCACCACTGAAAAGAACTTGGCTCAGTCGTTTTTGTACCCACCTTTCAGATATTTATATACACTGACGAGATTCCCTCCCTGAGACTGCTGTTCTCCAGTCCCACCTCTCTCAGCGTCTCCTCATAGGAGAGATGCTCCAGTCCCTTAATGGTCTTAGTGGCCTTTTGCTGGACTCTCTCCAGTATGTCCGTGTCCTCCTACTGGGGAGCCCAGAACTGGACCCTGTACTCCAGGTGTGGCCTCACCAGTGCTGACTAGAGGGGAAGGATCACCTCCCTTGACCTGCTGGCAACGCTTCTCCTAATGCAGCCCAGGATACTGTCATCATCCTCTGGGGCAAGGGTACATTGCTAGCTCATGTTCAACTTGGGGGACCCACAGGTCCTGTGAAGGAAAGCATGGAAATTGCTGCAATGGAGTTGTGTGGATGTGGACTCAGATAAGACTTCAGTCAGATACTTACAGCTTTTTGTTGATATTTTTAGAAATATTTCTCCATGTCTCCTTGTTGGCTTTACAAAATATTCTCTGTATTAATCTTTTTTGATGGGGAGGAGGGAAGTGAACATAATTTTTAATGCTGTGCTATTTTCTAAGTATGTCCAACACCATTCCTAACTTTATTCTGCTCTGTGCAAACCAAGAATGAGCCAAAAAAATACTTGTGTACTTCTTTCTAGGTTTATGGGTTCTGATGGTGATGAAAACGACAACATCGAAGCAACAATGATGTATTATGGAACAACTTTTATCCAAGAAGCAGATTTTCCCTTCAACTTCAACCTAATTAACATGAAAAATCTATCTGGCAATAGTATTTTTGAAGCTGTCAACTTGTGGATGAAAAACATGCCTGCAGGAAAATGGCCAAACTGGGTGGTAAGAGTTTTAGATCAACTCTTATAAGAAGCTCATAGGATCCTATAGGTCATAGGAACCTATAGGTGATAGAAACCTCACCACACACACACTGATTTCAGAGATCAGCAGCCTGAGCCCATGGCTGAGCTATAGGAGGTATCCACGTGAAACTCTCAGCTGCTGTAGTTGCAGTCGTTGGCATTGGACAACTGGCTGTCCTGCCCTCTGGTAACAGTTACACTCCCCGTGCAAGGGTGACAGAAGGGAATTTACGATCACGCCTCTCCCTCAATGTCCCCAACGTCATTTGGGATATTGGCTTAAACCACCAGTGAGGATGGGAGTGGTACAGTTATCTTTGGCCGTAAACTGACACAATTATCTTTGGCCATAAACTGATTCAGTGCAATGGATTCTGGAAACCTTCCAGGGCCAGGGAAGAACAGAGCAGGCAGCTAAGGGCAGTTAACTTAAAACTTCGCTGGTCTTTGCTAGAAAGCATGTTTGGGATGTGCAAGAGATCTCTTCAAAACAAGTGCCACCACCAAGCAGCAGAGAAAATGGCAGAAATCTGAGGGAACTGTAATTGCGGAGAGTTGTTATTTGTGATCTCAGTTCTGTCTCATGTGCTGCTACCAGGGCATCTGTGTGCTAAATTACTTGGGTCAGAAGTTTGTACTGGCACCAAGATAAACAAGATAATTGCCCTTGCAGGCCTGGAGGAGAAAGAAAAATTTTACCTTGTTAAATTAGTTAACCAATTCCACGTATGTATGGAATTTTATAATGTATGTTTAAGAGAATGATGTTTTCTTCAGGTTGGAAGCCCTAACGCTGCTCGGATTTCATCTCGGATTGGGAAGGAGTACATCAATGTCATAAATATGCTGCTTTTAACCCTCCCTGGTACTCCTGTAACTTACTATGGTGAAGAAATAGGCATGGAGAACATTGCCTCAGAAAACGTAAGCAAAGAGTGTATAAACTCTGATCTTGTTATTGTTTAGTTCTGACTAACAGAACTTCCAAAAAATCAAGAACTTTAGTTAATCAGCTACAGTCTTTCTCGCTGTTTAGATGCTTTTCGGTGTTCCCCATGGCAAAGCCATTGGACAGCATGTAGAAATGGCCAGGCCAGAGACCAGAACCAAGGCCTTGATGCGTGTCTGAACTGCAAGACTGCCATCACAGTCCCAGATTTCTGTCGTCTGCCAGATCAGTCTTGCGTGGTTTGTAGTAGCGTTGCTTTGCTTTCCTTCAGCAGAAAGGGCAGCAAGCGCTAACACAGGGCCTGGGCTAGTGGTTAGGAGAGGTGCACTGTGGTCATCTGAGTCGCTATCTCCTTGCTCCCACAGAAGTACCCTAATTACTATGTCAAAGTCCATTATTTCCTGGCTTCTATTTAAAGGAAGTCAGAGTTCATGAGAAGACCGTAGCTACAGTCACCATCTCCTGCGGATTGCTTTGCTCTATGCAAAGGCACCTGGCCAAGCCATCAGCCCTCTACAATGTGCCCAAGCTCTGAAGAAGGGGCCTTCAGAAAGGGGTGGGTGTACAGACCAGCCCTGCTCAGTGTTGCCCGGTGGCAATCAGAAGTGGCTTTTGCTCGTCACGCAAGGCTTTTTTCATTTGTCTCTTAAATCCCTTCCTATACAGGCCTCAGGTACCTAAGCCTGGGAATCAGGTGTCTAACTCACTGGATCAGAGCTACAAGTAATGCCTGACGGGATGTTTGTGTTCTGAAAGTTTCTGTAATCTAACGAACTAAGTTTATTCGAGGTCAGGGGATTAAAACAAAGCATCTGTACCTTTCATGCTCTGCTGACCTGTGTGACTTAAAAGTTTTCACGTTCAGCCCCTGTAACTTCTTGTCTCTTCTATGATCATACCCGTGTTCTGTTGTGTCTCATTGCCCAAGATGTATGGGCATGACTGGAAATGGTCATAGCCCAGAGAGAACAGCTCAGCTCTGCCTCTTATGACCACTTTGAGTACCATGAGAACGTGGGCCTATGGCAGATGCTGTTTTCACTGTGGAAAGCCTCCATTAGGGAAGGAGGCAGCCTCTGATGATGTTACCAATGATGTTGGCTATCTTTGTAGCAAAGGGAAGAGGTACTTGAAGCAGCACAGGATCATCGCCAGGTTTGTCTTATTCAGATGTGAGGTAGTGATTCTCTGATTTAAAAGGGAATCTCATTTCCTCTGAGAAACACCTAGGTCAGAATACCTCCTGCATTTTCTTCCTGCTGCTGATTACTGCTGACAGAATGATGCTCTTCAGAAAAATGGCTTGCCCTTGGCTCCTCAGGGTTTACTCTCTTTTAGTGGCCACCCTGTGGCTCACGGCTTTGTAACGGCCCAAAAACACTCTTCTTTCAGCCTGGAGAGGAAGAATCCCTGATTAATGGGTGTCTTAGAAAGATGGAGAGTATTTGCTCAGGGTATAGTTTTTTAGCCTCAGCATTTGAAACACTTCAGGAGAAGCTGAAAGAGGTAAAGATGAAAGGGAGTGTTACCAGTGTTGAAAACTTAGGATTTTTTTTTCCCCTGCTTTTCAGAACATGCTAAAAGGAGAAACCCGTTATTTATAACGTCACAAAGCAAAGTGACAATTTCTTTTGTTGAGCTGCTGTTCTGACAGATTGTATTGAAAAGTGCCCTTTATATGAAAAACAGTTTTCATGGAAAACAAACACTCAAAGTATGTGCAAAATATTTTATGCCCTCTTATATCATGAAATTTAAGTGTCAGATCTTTTGGCAAGCTCTTCAATAACAATGAGGAAGTTTTTCAGAACTTTTCTGAATTCTTCAAAAGAACTTCAGACTTTGTACATCGACGCTTTTTTAATCAGCTAAAAGTTGTTTTTCAATAAAGTTTTTGCACTTGGAAATAATTTTATCTTTAACGCAAACAGTCCTGTCCAAATTGTACCCCTTGCGAATGTAAGCTTGAAGAGTTCTAAGGTGAAAAGTGTGATAGTTTGAAAGAACACACACTGAATAGCATTTACTAGTTGCTTACTGTTATTTTAATGCCTCTCTTCTTAGGACTCATTACCTCACATATTCACTCACTGCACATCTAGGTATTTATCAGAATATCCTAGCTGTCATTAGTAAATTTTTATCCAACCATCAGTTGCAAGGGGAGACAACTCTAGTGGAGTCATTTGGGAATTTGACATTTTAGCCAGTGATGCTGTATCCATGAGACCATCCATTATCCTCTCTTTCAGGAACTGTCCAATTCTTATTTTCTCTTTAGATTTGGAGCAGGATTACATCCTCCTTATTAAAGCTTAACTTAAACCAAAGAAAGCAATACTTGAAATGGTGATTGTTTGGAAGATGTGAGAAGATGCTATTCCAGGGATAACTTTTTAATATACTAATTAAAACAACTAACTTCTTGGTAATGGCTCTGACACCGCTTTATTTTCTAGGTGACCTTTCCAGAGAAATCCCCAATGCAGTGGGATGGCAAAGCGAATGCTGGTTTTACTGAAGGCAACAGTAGCTGGTTACCTGTTAACTCTGACTATCAAAGTGTAAATGTTGAGGTAGGTATCTGTAAGTGTGACTAACTCTTGATGGTTTAAAAATATTTTAATGTATCTATTTTGCTCTGACTTCCTTTACTTAGTGGGAATTGGTAGTGTAGGTGGTAAGAACAAACTCAAGGGAGGAAAATAAAAAGGCATTGAATCCTAACAAATTTTATTAGAAAAGGAAATCCTAGCATGAGCGAGGAGCCTACTTCATCTACATTCATTTAACCAGGATATCTACAACTATAATGTAGATGTGGCAATTTGGTCCTTTAAAATTATTAAAAGTATGTTAATATTGAAATCTGGTCTTTTTTCACTTCTATGACTATAGAAAGCACTGGCCTTGTAACAAGAACTTAACATAGACCATCTCTAACATAAGTAAACAAAACCTTTTTCAAGGCAGTTAGGCAGTGAACCAAACAGATTTTGCTCATGTACAGTGCTGACCAGAATTGAAGACAGAAAAAAAAATAAATCGGATAGGAAAAATAAAACACAAAACAAACCCTGTGGCTTCAGTAGATTAGACTCAATGAAAAAATTTAACTATCAAGCTTTGAATGGCTGTGGCTTTCTCCCAAATAAACAGTACAGTAAAGGACACTGTGGGAGGAAGAAAATAGCATTAGTGCTGGGGAAATTCTGTCCTGGTTAATATCCTCTGTCTCTGCTGCTCCACAAGTGCCAAGGAAGTGCATGAGAAAAAGCAATTTTTTAGTGGAATTTGCAGACAAATCTGAAGAGGGATAATTGTCAAAACAGAATTCTTATAGGTGTGTTTTCAGCAGACTGTGTGGGTGAGAGGGGTAAGTAGTATTTCCTACACTCATTGTAAAGAAATGACCCTGTTAATGCTGACTGTTGCAGATCCAGATGACCTGGTCCAATTCAACCCTGAATCTGTACAGAGAGCTAACTTTACTTCGTAACAATGAGCTACCCATTCATCGGGGGTGGATGTGCTACATCTGGAATGACAGAAATGTTTTTGTCTATGTGAGGGAATTGGATGGGCTAGACAGAGTCTTTATGATGGTTCTCAATTTTGGGCAGGAATCGACAATTGACCTGCAAGCTATAGTTCCTAGCCTTCCATCTGAAGCTGTTATAAGACTGAGTACTAATTTTAGCAATGCTGGTAAAGCTGTCAATACCAAACTAATTAAAACCGAAATGGGAGAAGGCCTGGTCCTTGAATATAAAACAGCAGAGCCTGTTCATACTATGGAAGGTTTTAAAGGAAATTGTTTTGTTGCAGAAAAAGCTTGTTATTCCAGTGCCTTCAATTTACTCTACATGAACTGTTAAGTGCCGATGTAGAATAACCAAGCTTTCATGTTAATTTAGAAAGTGTTGGTTTCAGGGAAATGCTAAAAATTTTCAGTTTTCTTTCAGTTTTAAAACTTTGTGTACAAAATAAACATCCTGAAAAAATAAAACGGATACCTAATTGTCTTCTATCTGTATTGGTGATGAAAAGGAAAAAGTATGGTATAAACTCTCCCTTAGGTTCTATGGAAAAGAAAAGTAAACCTGTTCTAAAAACTGTCCTGTTCAAGTGTGTGCATTTTTGTGAGGAAAGAGTAAAGTTGCTTTCTGGGTGCTGCCCCTTACAGTTGCTAGTCATTAAGAGCTCCTATGGAATCCAAAGCCTGTGGCAGTTCATAGTAACTTTTAAAGTCATCATCACCTATGTATTGGAATTCATTTTAGAAGACCCTAGTGAGACTTAAATCAAATACTCCTTAGGACTTTTACTGCCTTGTGTAAAATGTGGTCTTGGAAAAGAGGGCTTAGACTGGAAAGGCTGCCTGTACAAAGTGCGTGCCCTCACATGTTAGGCTTTAAGCACCAACCATTGCGCTTCAGTTCCACTTGTATAGCGCCGCATTGCTGTACTGAACAAATTGATTAATGCAGGTGGCTACTTCTGTGCTGTCTGTTAGGGGAGAAATTCAGCCCTTAGTTTGTATGTTTATATGCCAGTGCCACACCCAACTTTGAACTTCTTGTCTGCTTACACCCATAAAGCACGGATCCAAGAGGAGGCATCCTCTGGAACAGGTATTCGCTTTTCATGTACATAGAAATCTGACCTGAAGTTTTTCAGGTGGTCAATGTGTTTATTTGCAGGACTTTGTTTGATGCTGGAGATGGCATACTTCCTCAAGCTCTTTGTTCAGAAAAGCAAGGTGTCTGGCAACCTAAATAATGAAAATATTTTATTACAAAATAAAAAAAAAAATCTTTGCACTATAAACCTTCAGGTTCTTGCGCAGCTATTCTAATGTTCTCCCTTTCCCATACTAATGTTAAGTAATCCCTTACCCTAGGACAGAATGAGGCTTTTCCTGAAAGAATTCATTTTGGGCCTAACTGCCACAACAACCAAATAACATTTGCTAGGATTTGTTAAAATTAACAGTAATAAAATCTGTATCCAACTGTGACAGTCTTGAGACATCAGTAACAATGTTACTGGTCTTGGTGGTACATTGCTTTTGGCATGCACGCATGCTTGTACAAAGTGCAAAACATTGAAATCTCATTGTAGTAGTGTCCTTTGATAGTGCAGATCATGCATTTCAAATGTAAAGATCAAACCCATCGTATATGTTGTACTCATAAGGAAATGGAAGGAAATAGCTAGTATGTCAATTTTAAGCACCTAATTCTCTACAGTGCAAGACTTTTCCTGCTGGAACAATGTTTTGCACAACTTAGAACCTTTCGTCAATAACCTGGCTCTGTCACTGGCTCTCTTTTTTATATATATA